CCTTCAGGATGATGTAGGGTGCACATAACACAACATCCACGTACAAGCAGTTTAAAACAACATGCGCTGATTACTTCACTTAACAAGATGCCTTGCAGTAAGAGGTGCAGGGTCAGTGCAACAGCTCAGCGGTGTCCCCAAGACCCAGGATCGTTCCATCTGTCTGCTCCACCAGCCTCAGCATCTTGGCTTCCATCTTCACTTTCCCCCTCATGGTTACAGAGTGGCTGCTAAAGCTCCAGGCATTACCGTCTTAAACAGCATGTTCAAAAATAAGGATGCTTGTTCCTCACATAACTCTATTAGCAACAAAAGCCTTTCCCAAAGCTCCTAGCAGTCTTCCCCTCAAAATCCACTCGTGGGAACCAGGTCACACGCCCACAGCCCACCCTAACACCCATGGCAAAGGGGAATGGAATTAAGTAACTGATAGGGCCCCTATTCCCTGAGCACAATGATCCTGACACCTGAAAAACGGAGGGCTCTACTAGCAAGACAGAGGTGGGGGTAGGCGGCAGGCAGCATCTGCACACCTTCTTCCAGTCCCCTAGCATCCCTGCTCCAGGACAGGCGAGCTGGGCCAGAGGCCTGCAGACGCCACTGCACAGCCAGGTGAGAACGGCTCCATTGTGGTCCAGATGACCTCAGCATGTTAATGAAGGGCTGGTCACACTAAGCACATAGGGCCCCTAGGGTACTTCTTGTTCTTCTATTTGTGGACTTAAGTAGACTGCTGAAGTATGCTCTGCAATAACTACAATGTTCTTCCCAGAATGTGCTCAGCCAGAGATAAGGTAAGAAATAAATGCCACAGCACAAGCTTGGAAGACTCCTGGACTTCAGAACACTTATTCTTCACAGCCAGGTCTTTCATAGCTTTGGCCACTGGCGGAAGTACTTTGGCAGAGAATGGAATTCAGCTGCATGGTTTAAATGCCAAAAATTTTGCATATCTTCTATTCTGTTGAGCTGTAACCTGTCACGGTGTATACTATCTCCCAGCAATGGTGAACATCATTTATCTGGAAGGAAGTCTCATTTCTTAACTCTTTTAAACTTGATGTCATGTGCACTTAATGGAGCTAAGCATCTGAGGGAGTCTGAACACCAGAACTGACCGAGGGTCTGAGGAGTCCACCTAAGACACCTGGGGAACACAGGGTTACAATCCTGGGGGCCATGCTTTTAGAGGAAGATGCATTCAGATGGGAGTTTGCTTAAGGCATCAGCCCAAGTGTTGATGGAAAGCCCCATTTCTGTTTATCACAGGTCCTGTTAGGCTACATCACCCCTAAACTATACTTCTTTTATTTTCAATTTTATTGAGTTAGCATTGGCCCCTGATTCCCATCTGTGCCTGCATTTATAAATCCTATTGTTGACAGTCAACATAGTAGCTCTCATTTCCTGATTTGGGTCATGTACAAATTTGATCAGTGTCCTTAACCTAATAACTAATAAAAATTCAAATCAGCCAGTTACAGAAGCCACACTAACCTTTGCAGGAAAATCCCTGTTGTACAGTTTACTTAACAAGCCACAATTTCAAAGAGCAATTAAAGATCCTGCAGACTCCAGGAATCACAACACTTCTATGAAACAGTCCACTTGAGGCTGCGAGACAAACATCATCTAATTCTTGTGAAAGTAAGGGAGACACTCCAAAAATGCTAAGTTATTAGTAACTCTGCACATACCTTGATGCCTGTGTTAGTCCGTTTTCATGCTGCTGATAAAGATATACCTGAGACTGGGCAATTTATTAAAGAAAGAGGTTTAATTGGACTTACAGTTCCATATGGCTGGGGAAGCCTCACAATCATGGCGGAAGGCAAGGAGGAGCAAGTCACATCTTATATGGATGGCAGCAGACAAAGAGAGAGAGCTTGTGCAGGAAACTCCCCCTTATCCTAACTATCAGATCTCATGAGACTTACTATCATAGGAACAGCATGGGAAAGACCTGCCCCCATGATTCAATTACTTCCAGCTGGGTCCCTCCCTCAACATGTGAGAATTCAAGATGAGATCTGGGTGGGGACACAGCCAAACCACCCCAGCCCCTCCCAAATCTCATGTCCTCACATTTAAAAAGCAATCATGCCTTACCAACAGTCCTCCGAAGTCTTTTTTTTTTAAATTGCATTTTAGGTTTTGGGGTACATGTGAAGAACATGCAAGATTGTTGCATAGGTACACACATAGCAGTGTGATTTGCTGCCTTCCTCCCCTTCACCTATATCTGGCATTTCTCCCCATGCTGTCTCTCCCCAACTCCCCACCCCCCACTGTCCCTCCCCTATTTTCCCCCAACAGACCCCAGTGTGTAGTGCTCCCCTCCCTGTGTCCACGTGTTCTCATTGTTCAACACCTGCCTATGAGTGAGAACAGGCGGAGTGTAAATTAGTTCAACCACTGTGGAAGACAGTGTGGCGATTCCTTAAGGACCTACAAATAGAAATTCCATTTGACCCAGCAATCCCATTACTGGGTATATATCCAAAGGATCATAAATCGTTCTACTATAAGGACACATGCACACGAATGTTCATTGCAGCACTGTTTACAATAGCAAAGACCTGGAACCAACTCAAATGCCCATCAATGATAGACTGGACAGGGAAAATGAGGCATATATACACCATGGAATACTATGCAGCCGAAGTCTTAATTCATTTCAGCATTAACTCAAAAGTCCACAGTCCAAAGTCTCATCCAAGACAATGCAAGTCCCTTCTACGTATGAGCCTATAAAATCAAAAGCAAGTTAGTTACTTCCTAGATACAATGGGGGTACAGAAATTGGATAAATACAGCCATTCCAAATGGGAGACATTGGCCAAAATAAAGGGGCCACAGGCCCCATGCAAGTCCAAAATCCAGCAGGGCAGTCAACTCTTAAAACTCCAAAATGATTTCCTTTGACTTCATGTCTCACATCCCAGTCATGCTAATGCAAAAGTGGGTTCCCATGGTCTTGGGCAGCTCCATCCCTGTGGCTTTGCAGGGTATAGCCTGCCTCCTGGCTGTTTTCACGGGCTCATGTTGAGTGTCTGTGGCTTTTCCAGGTACACAGTGCAGCCTGTCAGTGGATCTACCATTCTGGGGTTGGCCCTGTTCCCACAGCTCCTCTAGGTGGTGCCCCAGTTAAGGACTCTGTGGGGGGGCTCTGATCCCACATTTCCCTTCCACACTGCCCTAGCAGAGGTTCTCCATGAGGACCCACCCCTGAAACAAAATTTTGCCTGGGCCTTCAGGCATCTCCATACATCTGAAATCTAGGCAAAGATTCCCAAACCTCAATTCTTGACTTCTGTGCACCCCCAGGGTCAACACCACGTGGAAGTTGCCAAGGCTTGGGGTTTCTACCCTCTGAAGCATCAGCCTGAGCTGTACCTTGTACCCTGTTAGTCACAGCTGGAGCAGCTGGGATGCAGGGTACCAAGTCCCTAGACTACACATAGCACCAGGACCCTGGGCCTGGACCACGAAACCATTTTCTCCTAGGCCTCCAGGCCTGTGATGGGAGGGGCTGCCATGAAAACCTCTGACATGCCCTGGAGACATATTCCCCATTGTCTTGGGGATGAACATTCAGCTCCTCCTTACTTATGCTAATTTATGCAGCCAGCTTCAATTTCCCCTCAGAAAATGTGTTTTTCTTTTCTATTACATTGTCAGGCTGCAAACTTTCTAAACTTTTACGCTCTGCTTCCCTTACAAAACTGAGTACCTTTAACAGCACCCAGGTCACCTCGTGAATGCTTTGCTGCTTAATTTCTTCTGCCAGATATCCTAAATCATCTTTCTCAGTTCAAAGTTCCACAAATCTCTAGGGCAGGGGCAAAATGTCACCAGTCTGTTTGCTAAAACATAACAAGAGTCACCTTTGCTCCAGTTCCCAAGAAGTTTCTCATCTCCATCTGATACCACCTCAGCCTGGACCTTATTGTCCATATCACTATCAGGCTTTTGGTCAAAACCATTCAACAAGCCTCAAGGAAGTTCCAAACTTTCCCACACTTTCCTGTCTTCTTCTGAGCCCTCAAACTGTTCCAACCTCTGCCTGTTATCTAGTTCCAAAGTTGCTTCCACATTTTTTAGTATCTTTCCAGCAACATACCATTCCTGGTACCATTTACTGTATTAGTCCATTTTCACGCTGCTGGTAAAGAGACTGGGCAATTTACAAAAGAAAAAGGTTTAACTGGACTTACAGTTCCACGTGGCTGGAATATCTTATGTGGATGGTGGCAGGCAAAAAGAGTTTCTGCAGGAAAACTCCCCCTTAAAATAACCATCAGATCTCATGAGACTTACAAGAACAGCACAAGAAAGACCTGCCCCCAAGATTCAATTACCTCCCACCAGATCCTTCCCACAACACATGAGAATTCAAGATGAGATTTTGGTGGGAACACAGCCAAACCATATCAATGCCTCTAAAAATCCACCAGGAACACTTCTAGAAATTGTTAAACACCTCCAAGGCTCCACAGAACCCTCCTCTACTCATATCTTCATGGCAAGGAGCTACCATGGATCCCTCTCTGAGTGTGCCCAAACCAATTACAGGACTAGCAACAATGGAAGGCAACTGAGAGGCACAGAGCAAGAGCTGCCCTCCCACCAAAGCCACCACCACAGAAAGAACTCATTCTTCATAAGGAGACTGGAGCTAGTGTTAAGGGGATAGACAGTAGCTGCCAAAAACCTGGCTAAAGTCCACAACATCCCAGCCCCTCATCTCAGACTCACGCAAGTGCTCTCTACACCATCACACTGTTTATTTCTTAAAGAGAACTCTGCACACACTAAGAGTCACTTGCTTATCTGTTTGTCTCTCCTTTCCAGAATAGGAATTCAATGAGGTCAGGGGCTTTGTGTGTCTATTCACTGCAGAATCGCAGAGCTTCTTCCACACTAGATACTGAACACCTATTTGTTGAATGAATGAATGAATGTGTCCCCAGATGGTTCTCTTTAAATGAAAATTATCAAACCGACCATATTTTTATAAGTTTAAAGATGCAATTATCTTACTTCATTACATCTCCATTAAGACAGTTTGATATTTTGGTTACAGGTGTATGACTGAGAGTTCAATTCTTTTCTGTGATAAGCATGAATTATTCAAATTACCACTCAATATTCACTTTACAGATATATGAAGCTTGTCCACTCATGTTCAAAGGTTTTCGTTAATTCCTCTTTTATCTAAATCAGTCAAGTCTCTTCTCCTAAATGAGAAATATTAAATAAATGGGAGCTCTCAAGAAATAAAAAAGTGACTACCAGAAAAAGCTTCTGTGAATAAGCTTTTTTTCAGTGTCTAAAATAACAAACACAATTTATGGACCAAGACTAGGTGCCATGAGTTTCACAAACTGGTACCCCATCCACTGTTACGTGTACCATTATCCCAGTGGCAGGGACACACAGGAAGCCAAGGCTCAGAGGCAGTAAGTCACAGGTCGAGGGCCTCTTGCCGATGACAAAACAGGAATCTGAATTCAGGTCAGGCTTACATTTACACATACATGTACACATATACATCTTAGATAAACTAAAATACAGTAATCTGGTGGTGGAACAAATTATTTCTAATAAATGTTATAAAATATAAACACCTCTCTGAATCCTTTAGAAAATTAATTTTGAAGTACAAAAAGGAAAGAGATAAAACTTAAGTATGAACAAAGTTATAGGACACTGCAAACATTTGGTAATAATATACCGTCTTTAAAAATCATTTCTCCTTATGGTGGCACTAAGCCATATCGTTTATAATGTGAAGAGCAGTTGATATCTTTTCTACCCATAAGCATGACCATCACTTACTCAAATTTTCTGCATCCAGGTCCATGAAAAGCCAGTAAATACATTTTTTAAGAAAAAAGAAGGCATCAAAAGCGGATTTTAAATCTACCTGTTTGCCTTCTGTTTGTTTTCTCCAAAAGTTACGGCAACTAATAGTAATTTCCCATTCCAAACCAAAGACAATTGTGCTCCTTTGCTAAAGACACAGCTGTAAGTCTCTATCAGATCAGGGAAGATGACCAACATTTCAGAAAAGCACTCTCAGTAAAGTTTATGCCAGAATGGCCGGCTGGAAGGGCATCGATGTTCAGGGCCTCTTTTCACGGCCTCTAAAAGTGCTCACGTCATACACCCACACCGTGTCTATCCCCTCCCCAGTGACGTGGTCCGGGGTCCAGTGTGGGAAAGGGAACCGGCAAGCAATGACTCTTGCATCATCCTGAAGTTCAAGTTCAAGTTTCTTCTCCAGCTGCAGCATCTGTGGAGATTAACAGCTATTATTGTAGGGGGCAGTGAGCCTGAGGAAATGATCCCAAAAGGTTCTTTTGTATTTAAGAATCCCTGAAAATACCTGAGCAAAAATTACTACTTGTGAAAAAAGAGCACTCTGGGACACACACACATGAACACACAAGCCACTAAAATACAGAAGATACACTGGCAGCAGCTGTAAGAACATCTTCTAGTATTAATTATAAAATGTGCCATTTTTGGCAGATGTCTATCATAGATTTATAGTTTTCTGAATAAAATCAGAATGTGGCAGTAATTATAATAAGAAGCAGTTTTAAATAACTTACTTCAATGCTTCAATATACTTAGATATTTAAGACATTATTTTTTTCCACCTTTTTTAAAAGAGATGGGGGGTCTTGCTGTGTTGGCCAGGCTGGTCTCAAACTCCTGAGCACAAGCAATCTGCCCACATCAGCCTTCCAGAGTGCTGGGATTACAGGTGTGAGCCACGGCACCCGACTACATTTTTCCACATATTTAGCGTCTCTGAAATCAGGACACATTACACGGCACCCGACTACATTTTTCCACATTTTTAGCGTCTCTGAAATCAGGACACATTACACAACTGACATTGTCTTAGAATTATAATTGGCAATTTTTTTCTGTTTCTCAATAGCAACAGTGCATTCTAAAATCAACATTTACAGTCAATGAAGTGTGGTATAGTTCGACCATGAAAAAATATACACAATTCTACCAACTGGAAATATCATGGAATATTTCATAATTTTTAAAAATGTATCCATAACATACTGATAATGAATTTGATAGTATAACTTATATCACTGTTGTATCATTTTATTATCAATCTACCAATAGAGTTTTTATTATTTGCTAAAAGTATTGATATTTTAATTACATCAACAAATTAACAACTACTTAAAAATTGATCTGCAGATCCTAAAAATATATTACTACCTTCACCACCTTCACTTCCTAAAAATACCTTTTTTTTCTACTTTCTTATTTTAACTTGTTATTTAGGGATAATTTCAAACTTCCAGAAAAGTTGCAATAATAGAACAAAGACCTTCTTTGAGACAAGGTCTATAGGCCAGGCTGGAGTGCACTGGTGCAATCCTGGCTCAATGCAACCTCTGCCTCCTAGATTCAAACCATCTTCCCACCTCAACCTCCTAATTTTGTAGAGATGGGGTTCTGCCATGTTGCCCGGGCTGGTCCCGAACGCATGAGTTCAAGCCATCTGCCCTCCTCAGCCTCTCAAAGCGTTGGGGTTACAGGCATGAGCCACTGTACCTGGCCTATCGGCTTACCAATTTTCAACATATTGTCACATTTGTTCTCTTCCTGTTTCTTTGAACATTTTTCCCCTAAACCATTGGAGAAAAGATTGCATATGATATGCTCCTTTACCCCCTTAATACTTCAATGTGTATTTTCTAAGAAAAATATGTTCATACATAATCCCAGCACAGTTATATTCAGAAAATTTAACATTGTATTCCAATATAATAATTCCAATCACACTGCAATTCTGTCATTGTTCCAGTAATGGTCTGTATAACATTTCCCGAGAGCAGGGTCCAATCCAGAATCACTTTTGCATTTAGCCATAACATTTCTTTGGTCTCCTTAGATGGAAAACAGTTCCTCAATCCTTCTTTGGTTTTCGTGACAATAACATTCTTCAGTTACCGTACGGAGTGGCCCTGGCGTGGGTCCTCTGATGCATGCTCATGCATGGTGCAGCGTGTGGTCTTTGGCAACACTCCACCTGTGAGGCTGTAACTTACCAGGGCTCCACAGACATGTAGGAAACCCTTCTGCTCTTGATGATGGGATTAACCATGCAGTGAAGGTGGGATCCAGTGTCTCCACTGTGCAGTTGCTCTTTTTCCTTATATAATAAGTAGTTTATACACATTCATGGAGAGATGCTTTGAGATGATGTAAACATCCTGTTACTCAACAGACAGTCCCAAGTAGCACTCATGGACAATTCTGGCCTGCATCAATCTGCTAATTCTGTCCTTTCTTCTACATGTAGAGTCAGCACTCTACCATAAGGAAGGGCTTTCCCTTCACCGGCTCTCCCTCTCTCTCTCTCCTTATCTACCAATCTGTTGTAAGGACAAACACCTGTATTCTTATTTCATTTGATGGGTTATAATCCATTACTGTCTTTGTGTATTCAAATGCTCAAACTGTCCGAATTTGGCCGCTGGGAGGCTCCTGCCTCTGGCTTCTCTGTCCCTTGGACATGCTGCCATCAAATACTGTGAGCAGTTCCTTACATTCTGGCTCAACAAAATGTTCCTGGCTTTCTACCTTCCCTTCCCCAGCCCTGATTCAGCCATTTCCTCAAAGATTCCTGGTTCCTCTTAGTGAGAGATGATATTTAGAAACCAAGACCTAAGCAAAAATTACTCCTCTAAAAAGCAACAGGTTAAAGCAAGATGAAATTGATAGAGCTATGATGGTTTTATTCCTGACCTATATCTTATAAAAGTGCTTAGAAAATCTCTGCTACATGACCTATAGCTGGAATTAACCAAAATTCTAATTCTTCATTAGAATCAATGCCAAGATAACACAGAATAAATTCTATTAAGGATGGAGGGATTTCTATTCTTTTAACAGCCAGAATAGAATTAAAAAAAAAAAAGTTTTGTTCCTTGAGGGAAAAAATTAAATAAGCAAAGAATGAAACAATATGCGTTTTTCCAAAATATCAGAGATTTCTTATGGTAATTTTGTTCATAAAAAGGATAATTATAAACTTATTCATCATGCTATTATTCTTTTCTCTTTTACAGTTTCTTTTATTTCCAAATGATTGTCATATGCTAAGTCAAGATAAACCTTAAAATGAAAGGCACTATTTCCATCATAAGAAATTAACTGACTAAATTACACATAAATATGCAACAAATCTGGTGCTTGATATCATACACAAAGAGAAGCCGTGATGTGTCATGTCTGCCTAATGGAATTCAAAACTATTCATACAATTATAGGTTCAAAGTGACATGAATTCATCCTATTCTAATTACGTCTTCAAAACTTTAAACACAGGTAGAAAACAGCTCAAAGGCATAAGATAACCCAGCCCTGCCACACACAACCCGCGCCTCCCAGGAACCAGCTACACTGGGCTGCCAGGGCAACCCACTCCTGGCACTTCCTCCTCCCCAGGTTCCCTTCTCTGAGTCCCACTGGTTGCCCCTCATTTCCCAGACGTCTAATGCCAGGGTCCAGAGCTCAGGCCTTCGACTGCTCACCCTGATGCTCCTCACTCTATGCGCTGACGCCCAACAGACCTACATCTCCAGCCCGCCCTCTGGCCTGAACCGCAGACTCCTTCTCACCCACCACTGCCAGCCTGACTTCATGCACACCCACACTTCACATGCCCATGCTGACTTTCCCAGCCAGCTCCGCCTGCACCTTCCCCAGTGTACTTCAAGGCAACCCTGAGTGTGTGGCAGGATAGCCCAGTGGTCGAAGGTGCTAGACACAAGCTTCCACTTCCCAATGCAACTCCAAACTTCCAGTAGCTCGGACCTGCACCCTGGGGCTGCCCGTGACCCCGCCTCCATCTCTCTCCCCCACATTAGAGCTGCCAGCTAATCCTGTGGATTCTGTCTTCAAATGCACACAGAATCTGACACTTCTCACCAGCTACTCCATGGCCTGGACACCTACAAGAGCTTATAACCTGCCTCCCAGCTTGTACCCACGCCCACCTCCACATGGCAGCCTGTGACCCTTCTCAAGCCCAGTCAGCCCTGCATTCCTCTCTGCTCACTCAAGGCTCCTGCCCTTCAAGGGCTGGGGTCCTTCCCATCCTGCTTCCTCTCTGACCTCCCCACACACACTCATGCCACACCTGCCTGCTTGCCGCACTGCCCCCACCCTGCCCAGGGCACTCTTCTCTGCACGCCCCCTCCCTACCCTCGAAGGTCACCTTTGCAGGGATCCTGTCCCTGCCCCACCCCGCCTTGCTTTGCTTTGCTCCACAGCACTTTTGATTCTGCTGTATGATGCGTTGTCTGCAGGTGTCTCACACAGTATCTTCTCTCCCCACTAGCATATCAGCACCTGGGGCAGGGGTGTTTTCTCTGGTGCTCACTGAAGTATTCCAAGTGATTAGAACAGGGCTTGCTATAGTGCCCACACTTGTCAAATGAATGAAGAAAGGAAGAAAAAGTGATTCAGCCATGAATTATTTTTCCTTACTACAACATGATGATAATATTTTTGTTTGTCAATTCATAACAGTCAGGCATAGTGCTTCCCGCCCGTAATCCCAACACTTTGGGAGTCTGCAGCAGGAGGGTTGCTTGAGCCCAGGAGTTCGAGACCAGCCTGGGCAATAGAGTGAGATTCTGCCTGTACAAAAAATTAAAGGATCAGCCAGATACGGTGGCACACACATGCCTGTATTCCCAGCTACCGGGGAGGCTCAGACAGGCGATCACTTGAGCCCAGGAGGCTGCGGCTGCAGTGGGCCAAGATCACGTGCCACTGCACTGTAGCCTGGGCAATAACGCGAGACTGTCTCAAAAAAAAGAAAATAAATCATCACAGAATTTGTAACTAAAATTAAATTAGCCATTCTTCGAAGTTATGAAAGTAGATAGCATTCTGGGAAAAGCATAAGTAACGGTTTTACTTAGACTACATTCATTCATTCTACAACCGTTCACCGAGTGATACCTGTGCTAGTCCTGCAGCGCTGGAGGCCTGGGCCAGCTGAAAGGGGACAGGCCTGGGCCCTGCCCCTGAGCTGATGGTGTAGTGCACACAGCAAGCACTGTCGAAGACTTCAGGCCAAGAAATGCACAATAGCCCGTCTAAGGACAGGGCACCAAGGTACTATATGAGTGCAAAGCGGGCCGCTGGAGCTGTCCTCATCAGGCATCAAGGACTGCCACCCAGAGGAAAAGCCAGCTGGCCCATGAGTGGTCAGTGCTGTTCACCAGTGGAGCCCAGAACCAAGAGGACCACAGTCAGAGGGAAGGACACAGCCCCAGGCCCTGGGAAGAGCCACAACGGCGAGGTGCAGGGGGACGAGAGGACGGAGGGCTGGTGCAGACAGCTGAAGGCAGCATGGCCCAGGGGAGGCTGGAGGGGCACGAGGGTCACTGCACACCAGCCTGAGGGCCACACTGAGTGTTTGGGCCTTATTCCTAAAAACAGCAAGAAGTTACAGAAGGGTTTTATACAAGAACAAGGTTGATCTGCTCTGCACTTTGAAAAGATGCTCTCAGTACATAAGCTCATGTTAAACGTGGATATTTACCACCCCTGGGCTGGCTTGACCAGTTCCAAATGGGATTCCTGCTCCTTTTCCGTTAGATACAGACTTGTGCGGAACTGTTGGGCACCTCTGATGTTGAGCCTCTACTGCACAGAGCTGTTAGGGATCATCAGTCTGGCATGAGAAGCAGGGATAAGGGTTTATAGCCCCAGGAATTCCGGCTCTGGACCTCCCCAAGGCTCCCTGGCTCTCTGAGTATCTTCCTGGGCATTAGCTGCCACAGCAACATCTCATGGCACGCTGGCTTTGTGGAGTCACCCAGCCACGGCTGGCATGGTCGACTGGCACAACACACTCTCCCTCCCCTCATGGCCTCTACTGAGACACAGCTTGATGAAGGCTGAAGTGGAGCCCTCCACGCACAAAACCCAGCCTTCCAAACAAACAGAAGCCACTCCGGCCTCTGCACCCCTGGCCGACCCACCAGCGTGGAAACTGCAAGCTGGCCACATCTCTGTCATTACAGGGAACATGGACACTTTGTGTCTTTCAGTTGCTCCCTTTTTCCTTGGGAATGGTGAAATGCTACATGTTCCTTATTTCAGATTTCTCTCATACAGAAGAATGGACATTAATCGCAAAAGCATCCATAAATAAGAAGACTCTGATTTCCCTGGACGGAACAGCTCCAAAAAGTGAGTAAGCCTGCTCCAAACAAGGTAAGCAGCACCCAGGGCTGGCTCCACAGTCCTGACGTGACGATGACTACTGAAGGCCACTGCTGCCCCCTGCTGGGACAAGTAACCCTGGTTTCATCAACCTGCCTCTCACACAGCATGGAATTTCCACTACATGCTAACTTTCTATTTTTATAAAGCACTGATTCAAATTAAAGTTACTTGTCTCCAAAAAGCCAACTATTCCATTTTAGAAGGAAAGCCCAAACATCACAGGTAGTAAATCACCATCAAAATTACATATCAATCTATGATCCCAATTAGTTTTTTAAAAATAACCAAGGAGGGAGCATCACATACTGGGGGCAGTATGGGGTGGCAGAGGAGAGACAGAGGGGAGTGGGGAGAGAGGGGAAGGTGGGGAGGGATAACATGGGGAGAAATGCTAGATATAGTATGCACCTAAAGTTAAATAAATTATTAAAATAAAAATTAAAATAAAATAAACATTAAAAAATAAAAAAACAAAATAACCAGGGAGTGTGCCCGTCTACCTCATTTCACTGTTATAAGAAAAGGGTGGATACCAAAGTTTGGTCTTAATTTTAGGCCTAATGAGAATTATAAACGTACAGGATACTGTCACTTTCAAGAATATTTTACAAGGCCGGGCACAGTGGCGCACACCTGTAATCCTCGCACTTTGGGAGGCCAAAGCCAGCAAATCGCTTGAGGTCAGGAGTTCGAGATCAGCCTAGCCAACATGAGGAAGCCCCATCTCTACTAACAATATAAAATTAGCTGGGCATGGTAGCACATACCTGTACTCCCAGCTACTCAGGAGGCTGAGGCAGGAGAACTGCTTGAACCCAGGAGGCAGAGGTTGCAGTGAGCCGAGATCATGTCACTGCACTCTAGCCTCGGCAACAGAGCAAGACCCTGTCTCAAAAAAAAAAAAATTTTTTTTACAAAAGCATTTCTAAATTATCTTTTACAATTAAAGAATATGGCATGGCAGCGAAGGTCTTAGTGGTAGAAATAAATTTCTCAAGCACTGAAATATCTTATACAAAAATTCAGGTATTAATAAAAAAACAAAATAACAAAAAAGTAAATTGCCTTTTAAAAAAATTAAAACCATATCAGCTGTATTGCAGCATTTTAGCAAAAATCCAATTCTGCCTATTTTATTATAGCTAAAATGATAGACTTTGAAAAGGGAAAAGGGATTTCTTTCCATGGTCTGTGCAGCAGCAATTACAGTAAAAGCTTCCCACCATGACCATCCTTCCAAAGGCTAAGGAGGGCCATTTCCAGTACAATACTGCAGCATTTTCACTTTTGAAAGTTCATAACCAAAGTTCAATACGCCATTCTTTGGGAAATCAGTAAACTGAGGTAAACTGAAACTACTCAATGCTCATCCACCCAGAAAATTATCTTCCTGCCAAATGGGAGGAATGATCAATTCAGAGGGAACATCCGATTAACTTTCCCGGGCAATTTCAGCCAAGTGGAAGTGAGCGGCTGTGAAAACTGCAAGCTGCATTAGACACTGGAACCTCATAAAGCAGCTTCCAAATTGGAATTTTTAAGGCACTGAGAATTTCATCTAAAGCCAAAGTTTAAAAATGTGACTGAATTTTGTATGATTAAACCTCTAAGACTCTGATATTTTATTCACTCAATGAACTGAAATCCAGTATTCCCTAAGATGTCCGGGAGCCATCACCGCACACGGGTGAGTGATGGCAGTGCGGCTGAAGGGCCTTCAACACTCCCTAACCCCAAACAGAGAGCAGGGAAGTGCGTACTCACCATCTGAGGCACACCGAAAATAACAACGTTCGAGTGCTGCGAAAAAGTAACCTAAACAAGGGGGGAAAGCAATCGGTAGATTAAGTGTAAAAAAAAAAACAAACGTTAAGCTTAACTTGTGTCACAGAAATGGGCAGCAGTTTTCCATTGTATGAAACGGTGGGTTTTGACAAACTCCTAAAAAGGGTGGCCCTCCCTACGATTTCACAAGGAAAGAACATGTTCATGCTTTCATTCATTTTAATTCAATCCATTGGTTTCCAAATGCTTCCCTGTAAGTCATCCCATCTCATCCTCATGGCAACTCCATGCAGGGCGCGCCCCAGTGGTCATGTGTCAGATGGCTAATGACCCCACTGTGACCAGCTCGTGGCTAAGCCAGTGGCACCAGAGCCACACGCACCAGTCCACTCTACGCCAAACCAGCTTCACCAGAACGCAAGAGACTTCACAACCATCTGTTTTTTTCTTGAACCATCCTGAAAATTCGAGTCCCCCTCCTCATCTCTAAAATACTATGTAAAAAAAGTGCAATAAAATGCTCTTTAGTTAAAAAACTGGGGGGAAATGTGCTTTGCCAGTTAAAATTCTTATTGCCCAATAAAAGTCTTATTTACTCTATAGAGAGATCGTTTATGCACATATGGTATAAGAAAACAATGCAAGCAAAACTCAAGTGAATTTCTGTAAGCTACTGATGACAATATTACAATGGAAAATTCTTATTTAAGTAAAAGCATTTCATGGAACAATCCTAAAGCAAAATTACAGGGCATTTTTAGAGTACAGATAAATTTGGAGCTTATACTTTACGAGGATAAGAAATAACCATGACAGCAGAATTCTCTAACACCCATCTCCGTATCTCCCTAAATACACAAACATGCACACACACACACACACACACACACACAGGCACACAAACAGAAAGTCTAACATTTATCAATAATAATTTATAGGATTTCCAAATAAGATGAAAAATCTCATTATTTTGTAAGAAATAGAAATGAGAACACTTTAATTTTGTAAATAAATTCTTGGAATTCACAAGACCTATCATATAAAAACTTTAAGCATCTCTCTAAAGTAGACTATTGGTAAAATTTATCAATTTTACACATTTCATTATGCCAGGATATTCACTTGGATTTTAATTCTTTTTAACATTTTTCAGTTTTCAGTCATACTAATTTTGAATAACAGTTTTCCATTGGATTTCTCTAGCACTGTTCTCTGCCTTACATACCTTCCACAAATCCGAAATATAAAATTTGGCAGAACCATGCACACCTTCTCGCCAAGCGCGGTATCTGGAGTACCAAACTAGCCATGGATTTAATTCATAACCAACTGCTGTGAACCCTTCCTTTGCAGCCGCTATGACCTGTGGAGAGAGGCAAGATTTATTCAAAATTAGAAGAAAAAATGAACGTACAAGGTCAAACAATGTATTTCCTATCAATGGTTTAAACATCCCATCAAAAAGTGCCTCCTAAGACATCATTGAAAGATATATCTCTAAAGTGATAAAGCTTTGTAGACAAGGTAATAGTCAACCCATGTAACTCAGTTTTCTTGATTGGCTGAAGATTTCACCTCAAGTATCAAAATAGACATTCAGGTTCACTTTGAATACCTCCATAATTGATCTAGGTGAGCCAACACCAGGGGAGGTCGAACAAAACATTGCTGAAAATCCACTGCATCTCTCCATCAGTGGGCTAGCACAGCAGGAGGGAAATTAATGTATCTGGGAAGACGGTTTTGTGAACAAGGGACTATATGCAATAAAAATAACCTGTCAATGAAAAATCTGCAATGAGTAGATATTTCCTTTGTAGCTAATGACTGTTCACTCAAAACTGGAAACGGATAAAGGTAAAATGAAATGAATCCACCTCCAGAGAGTGGGAGGGATGTGGGGCGGTCCTGGGTTAACTCTGTCCATTCTGTCCTGCCTCATTCTTTAAGGGAGCACCCCTCGACCCAGCTATCCCCCCTAAGTTAGTTCCCAGGTAACTACAGTGCTGCAAGAAAACATTTTCTCAAAACCACAAAGATATTGTTCAAACACGTAAAGCATTCTAATATGGACTGTAAAAGTTTCTCCTCAGTTTCTTGATATGGTTTGGCTCTGTGTCCCTACCCAAATCTCATCTTGAATTCCCACATGTTGTGGGAGGGATGTGGTGGAGGTAACTGAATAATGGGGGCAGGTCCTTCCCATGCTATTCTCATGATAGTCAATAAGTCTCATGAGATCTGATGGTTTTATAAGGGAGAGTTTCCCTGCACACACTCTCTCCTTGTCTGCCACCATCCATGTAAGACGTGACTTGTTCCTCCTTGCCTTTCACCTTCCACCATGATTGTGAGGCCACCCCAGCCACGTGGAACTGTAACTCCAATCAACCTTTTTCTTTTGTAAATTGTTCAGTCTCAGTATCAGCAGCTTGAAAACAGACTAATACATTTCCTTTTTTTTTTTTTTTTTTGAGACAGAGACTCACTCTGTCACCCAGGCTGGAGTGCAGTGGCGCAATCTCAGCTCACTGCAACCTCTACCTCCCAGGTTCAAGCAATTCTCCTGCCCCAGCCTCCTGAGTAGCTGGGATTACAGGCACCTGCCACAATGCCCAGCTAATTTTTGTATTTTTAGTACAGGCAGGTATTTGTATTTTTAGTACAGCTTGACCAACATGTATTTTTCACCATGTTGGTTAAGCTGGCCTCGAATTCCTGATCACGTGTTCCACCCACCTCGGCCTCCCAAAGTGCTGGGATTACAGGCCTGAGGCCACCACGCCTGGCCACTAATACATTTCTTAAAAACAAATAGTGGCTCCCAGAGGATAAGGGGTGGAGGGGAACAGAAAGTTATTATTTAATTGGGACAGAATTTCAGTTTTGCAAGATGAAAAGTATCCTAGAGATGGGTGGTGGTGATGGTGGCACAGCAACGTGAATGTGCTTCATACGGTGAACCGTACACCTGCACATGGTTACAATGGTAAACATTATGGTATGTGTATCTTAACACAATTTTAAAAGAAAAAAAAATCAAAATGTAAAAATCTTACTTTTTAACCTCATCCTGATTATTCCAGCTCAGAATCACAAAATCACAGTGTCTGTGTGTAGGAGCTGGTGAGAGGTAACAGAGCCCTGTGGGCCTTTACACTAAATGCTTCCATAGGACCAGACTTTTCTGCTGCTGCTGAGACTGTTTGGCTCATCACTGGGATGAAGCTAAGGATGGTGCCACCCCGCCCACAGAGGAAGCTGCTCTGAGACACCCACTTGCCCGTCAGTGGCCTTTCGTCTTTATTTATAGGTGCCCAACTGGGATCAAGTGAGAGAAGTTCGCTAAAAAAGTCCGATCTTTGGCTTAGCAAAGGTTACTCACTGGCTCTTCCTTATTTTAACTCTACATTACCCCACAGGAATTATTACTTATACATGGATGAATACAAACAAATATGGAAGCAAACAGCTACGGGGGAAAATGTAAAAGAGTGAAACGCCAAGATTTAACATGTTTCTTCTCATTATGCCACCTCTGTCGGCCCAAGTATTTGGGTCTTTTTCACCTGGCATGTCTACAGAGTACGTCTTCCTTTAAGAACAAATTAAATCCGGGAAAAATGAATTCCAAACACACCGGTAGTTTAATAGTTTGGTCAAACAAACACAAAATGAAATGAGCACTCTTTCAAGCTGTCAGATTTAATAAGTCTTTGTATAAGCCTTACTAAATGTAAAGCAGAAATTTTAAGTTCTGATTCCAAATCTTAAAATGTTTTAGCAGAACTCACAATGCGTCCATCGCCGCTACCGATGTCTACAAGGGATCCTCTTCTGCATCGCAACATTTTCACTACATTTTCAATCTGCTTTGTAGTTGCAGGTACAAACGGCAAACAGACTTTTCGAAGGGCTGGCGTTATAAACGGCGTGGCTACAGCATACACAGCTACCAGGGTCCCGCCCACAAGCCCAGTAAGTAAGAACCCCCAGTTGCTTTTCTGCAAACTGTTGGCTTCAAAACTTGCAGGTAGAATATGTCTTGACTGGCTTTCTTCTTTAAGTGCCTCTAGGGGTACACCTAGATAAAAGCAAGCAGAAAAGACACACATAGCACCAAATCTGAAATCCAAGATAGTATTTTTTTCTACAATTCTCATTGACAAATAAACTCATGCTTTTTAAAGGATAATTTAGCTGAATACAAGCTAAATGCCAAGTGTAGGATCCCACAATAAGTTCTAAATCCAATTAAGGTATTTTGGAGAGCATTATTCAATACTACAGGAAGGCTAAAATCTTTTCTTTCCAACATATTGATTTTTTATGTGTCTAGGAGTCATCCTTAGAAAACAATGCATTCAAACTTATCGAGTAATTTATTAATTTAATATCCATTAGTACAAATTTTAATCATGCACTACACATTTTTATGTTCTGAACTAACAAAGTCTCAAAAACAAATAAGCATAAAGATGTCTAATTATTACCCGATTTCATGTAGAATTAAAGGATTCCACAGCAAATTTGGTTTGGCATTTATAATCTAGTTGCACTAATACAATTTTAAAGTAATAGAAGGCACAAAAGTCAGGTTTTACCAAACATCTTAAATAAGTATAGTAATAAAGAGACTTTTAAAGCAGACCCCCAAAAAACAAAAAATAAGACAATCATTTCAGTGCTATTCTAAGTATAAAATAATGCAGACCCCAATCACTGATTACAAAGACATGAATGGCACCTTAAACATCCTCAAGATTTGTCCTTTAAAATGCATTTAAATGGGATCTCAAGGTTTTGAAATTAATACTGACTTGAAATTGATTTTGAAATTGATTAATGAGGAGCACAGTACAGGAAGTAAAAGCAGGACTCCTCGAGAGCCAGCCGAAGTTAGGATCCCAGCTCTGCCACCTCACTAATGCTGTGACCCTGAATCCCTCGTCGCTGCTGAACCTCAGTTTTCTCATCTGTAAAGTGGGGGTTCACAGGGTTATTGTGAGTATGAAATGAGTGGATGCAGGTAAAGCACTTAGAACAGGGTCGAATGCAGTTATAAATTTCCTATAACTGCTGTAAAAAAAATGCCACAAAATTAGTGGCTTAAAATAACACCACTTATTATCATACAGTTATGGAGGTCAGTATGAAATGAGCTGGCAGGGCTGCCTTCCTTCTTGGGGCCCTCAGGGAGGTTTCCTTGTCTCTTTCATTTCCAGAGGCTGCCCACAGTCCTAGGCTCTTGACCCTACATCACTCAATCTCTGCTTCCGTCCTGACATCACCTTCTCTCACATGCCTGCCTCCCTCTTGATGTATAGGGACCCTCGTGGCAACATCGGGCCCACATAAATAATCCAAGATAGCTCCCCATCTCAAGATCATTGATTACATCTGTACAGGTACAGGAATTAGAAAGTGGACATTCCTGGAGAGGACGTTATTCTTCCCACCACACCCATTAACTGTGGCAGTCTATTCTGGTGCAGTACAAATTTAAACCCAAGAAACTCCGAAACTTGGTACACAGCAGCGAGTCACCCTCAGGGCAGCTGGTCAATCACCAGCATACCCACTGGGTCGGCGTGCGGTGGGAGGAAGAATGCTACTAGTGCTAGTGCTAGTGATGGTGGTAAACAAAATTAAGAAGGTGATGACATTTGATAGAAAGCAAAAGCTTTAATAATCTCAGTTATAATTTTAGCATTTTACAGAGGAAATTACAAGAATAACTTGGAGATACTCAGTTCCAGACCACTGCAATAAAGTGAGTATTGCAGTAATGCAAGTCACACAAATATTTTTGGTTTCCCACTATTAATAAAAGTTATGCTTACACTGCTGGAGTCTATGAAGTGTGCAATGGCACTGTTTAAAAAACAATGTACATACCTTAATTTTAAAATGCTTTCTTGCTTGACATTTTGGTCTGATTTATCTTCAAAAAAATTTTTTTAATTTTTATAAAACAGTTTATTGCTAACAAATGCTAATAACCATGTGAGCCTTCGGTGAGTCATGAACTTTTCACCGGCGTAGGATCTGGCCTTGATGTTAATGGCTGTTCACTGATCAGGGTGGTGGTTGCCGAAGGTTGGGGTTGTTGTGGCAATTTTTAAAAATAGGTCAACGATAAAGTTTGCCACATTGATAGAGTCTTCCCTTCATTAAAGATTGCTCTGCAGCATGTGATGCGGTTTGACAGCATTTTACCCACAATAGAACCTCTTTCAAAGTTGGAGTCAGTCTTCTCAAACTCTGCTACTACTTTATCAACTGAGTTTATAAAATATTCTAAATTCTTGGCCAGGCACAGTGGCTCATACCTGTAATCTCAGCACTTTGGGAGGCGAAGTGGGCAATCATGAGGTCAGGAGTTTGAGACTAGCCTGACCAGCACAGTGAAACCCTGTCTCTACTAAAAATACAAAAAATTAGCTGGGTGCAGCTGTGCACACCTGTAATCTCAGCTACTCAGGAGGCTGAGGCAGAAGAATTGCTTGAACCTGAGAGGCAGAGGTTGCAGCGAGCTTAGATCACAACACTGCACTCCAGACTGGGCGACAAAGCAAGACTTCATCTCAAAAAAAAAAAAAATTCTAAGTTATTTGTCTTCATTTCAACAATGTCTATAGCATCCTCACCAGTGTCGATTCCATCTCAGGAAACAACTTCCCTTGCTCATCCATAAAAAGCAACTCCTCATCCATTGACATTTTACCATGGGTTACAGCAATTCAGTCTCATCTCCAGGCTCCACTTCTCATTCTCTTGCTATTTTGACCACATCTGCAGTTACTTCCTCCACTTAAGTCTCAAAGTCATCCATAAGGGTTGAAATCAACTTCTTCCAAACCCCTATTAACGTTGATACTTTGACCTCCTCTCAAAAATCATTAACGTTATTGATGGCATCTAGAATGGTGAATCCTTTCCTTATGGTTTTGAATTGACTTTACCCAGATCCTTCAGTGTAATCACTACCTATGGCACCTCTAGCCTCATGAAATGTACTTCTTAAATAACAAGACTAAAAGTCAAAGTTACCCCTTGATCCCTGTGCTACAAAATGAATGCTATGTTGACAGGCATGAAAACAACATTAATGTCCTTGTACACCTCCACCAGAGCTCTTGAGTAGTAACTAGGTGCATTATCAATGAGCAGTCATATTTTGAAAGGAATCCTTTTTCTGATCAGTAGGTCTCAACAGTAGGCTTAAAATATTCAATAAATCATGCTGTAAAGAGAGGTGCTGTCAACCAGGCTTTGTTGTTCCATTTACAGAGCAAGACAAAGTAGATTTAGCATCATTCTTAAGGGCTCTATAATTTTCAGAATGGCCAATGAGCATTGGCTTCAACTTAAAGTCACCAGCTACACTGGCCCCTAACAAGAAAGCTTATTCTTTGAAGTTTTGAAACTAGGAATTGCTTTCTCTCTAGCTTCCAATAGAAGGCTGTTTCATCTATATTGGAAATCTGTTTAGTGTAGTAACCTTCATCAACAATCTTAGCTAGATCTTCTGGATAACTTGCTGCAGCTTCTCCATCAGCACTTGCTGCTTCACTTTGCACTTTTATGTTCTAGAGATGGCTTCTTTCCTTAAACTTAACGAACCTACCTCTGCTAGCTTCAAACTTTTCTTCTGTACCTGTCTCACTTCTCTCAGTCTTTAAAGAACTGAAGAGAGTTAGAGCCTTGCTCTGGATTAGGCTTTGGCTTAAGGATATGTTGCGGCCAGTTTTATTTTCTATCCAGACCACTCAAACTTTCTCCATATCAGCAATAAGGCTTTTCCACTTTCCTATCATTTGTGTGTTCACTGGAGTAGCACTTTTAATCTCCGTCAAGAACATTTTCTTTGCATTCACAACTTAGCTAACTGGTGCAAAAAGCTTAATTTTCAGCCTGTCTCAGTTTTCCACATGCCTTCCTCAATAAGCTTAATAATTTCTAGGTTTCTTATTTAAAGTGGGAGAAGTGTGATTCATTCACTTGAACACTTAAAGGCCACTGTAGGGTTATTAATCAGCCTAATTTCAATATTGTCGTGTCTCAGGAACTAGGAAGGCCCAAGGAGACGAGAGCGACGGAGGATTGGCCAGTGCAGCAGTGGGAACACACACCACGTTTACCGGTTAAGTTCACTCTTATTTGGGCATGGTTTGTGGAGCCCAAAAACACTTATGATAGAAACATCAAAAATCCCTGATCATAGATCACCATAACAGATATAAAAATAGTGAAAAGTTTGAAATACTGTAAGAATGCCAGGCACAGTGGCTAACACCTGTAATCCCAGCACTTCGGGAGGCCAAGGCGGGTGGATCACCTGAGTTTGAGAGTTCAAGACCAGCCTGACCAACATGGAGACACACCATCTCTACTACTAATACAAAAATTAGCCAGGCATGGTGTTATATGCCTGTAATCCCAGCTAGTCGGGAGGCCGAGGCAAGAGAATCGCTTGAACCCAGGAGGCAGAGGTTGTGGTGAGCTGAGATCGCGCCATTGTACGGCAACCTGGCCAACAAGACTGAAATTCCATCTCAAAAAAAAAAAAAAAAAAGAAATATTTCAAGAATTACCAAAATGTAACACACAAACAAAAAGTGAACACAAAGCTGTTGAAAAAATGGTGCCAATAGACTTGCTCCATGTAGGGCTACTATAAACCTTCAATTTGTAAAATGCACACGACTGAGTGAGGAATGTTGGTTCACACCTGTAATCTCAGCTACTCAGGAGGCTGAGGCCAGAAGATCACTTGAGCCCAGAAGTTTGAGACCAGCCTGAGCAATAACAGCAAAATCCTATCTCTAACAACAACAAAAAAGTGCACTCTCTGCAAAGTGCAATAAAACAAGGTATGCCTCTGCTTGCTATAGTGGTAGTCATGCAATTGGTTATTTAAGAAAAGTTGGCCAGGCACAGTGGCTCATGCCTATAATCTCAGCACTTTGGAAGTCCGAGGCAGGAGGATTGCTTAAGGCCAGGAGTTCAAGATCAGCCTGGGCAACATAGCAAAACCCCAACTCTACCAAAAATAAATTAGCCACGTGTGGTGGCATGCACTTATAGTTCCAGCTTTTTGGGAGGCTGAAGCAAAAGGATCACTTGGCCCCAGGAGGGTGAGGCTGCAGTGAGCCATAACCATACCAGTACGTTCCAGCCTGGACAGCTGGTATCAAAAAAAAGTCAAGTCAAGACTCATCTGTCATGCCCTCACTAAAAAATTATCCTGTGGACGTTCCAGTTGTACAATACAGCAGTTAAGAGGATTTGCGTCACAAAGTTTTGGAGTCTCAGAACTTAATTAGTTGTTTAATACAAGGTAAGCTGTTACTAAGGCATGGTTTTCTCCTCAGTAAGACTGAGAAATAATTTGTTTAAACACAATTCAAAATTGGCCAAGCATGGTGGCTGAAGCATGTAATACCAGCACTTTGGGAGGCTGAGGCAGGTGGATCACCTGAGCTCAGGAGTTCAAGACCAACCTGGGAAACATAGCAAAACCTCACCTCTACCGGAAATACAAATGTTAGCCAGGCCTGGTGATGCGCGCCTGTGGTCCCTGCTACTTGGGAGGCTGAGGTGGGTGGACTGCTTGAGCCTGGGAGGTGGAGGTTGCAGTGAGCCAAGATCACACCACTGCACTCCAACCTGGGCGACAAGAGCGAGAACTTCTCTCAAAAAAAAAAAACAAAAGGATTTTGCAATAATTCTAAGATTCTTGGAACAGGTGAATAACGTATACAAAGCATTTAGCACAAGCCTGAGAGACTAAGTAACGACTTCATTGCTATTATTATTCTCAATACCATCATTTGCAGGGAGAAGCTCAATTTTTAACAGCTTTGAGATACAATTCATATATATATAATTTGCCCACATAAAGTATACAATTTAATTTTTTTTAATATTCAGAGATATGCAACCATCACTATAGTCAATTTTTGAAAATTTTCATTACCTCAGTAGGAAACCCCTTATCCTTGAGCTATCACTGCCCCCATCCACCCTCTAGGCCCCAGCCCTAAGCAACCACTAATCTATATTTTGTCTGAAGAATCCCCTATTCTGGGGCCAGGCACAGTGACTCATGCCTGTAATCCCAGCACTTTGGGAGGCCGAGGCGGGCAAATCACTTGAGGTCAGGAGTTTGAAACCAGCCTGGCCAATATTCTGAAACCGTCTCTACTAAAAATACCAAAAAAATTAGCCAGGCATGGTGGTGCACACCTGTAGTCCTAACTACTTGGGAGGCTGAGGCAAAAGAATCACTTGAACCGGGGAGGCAGAGGTTGCAGTGAGCCAAGGAGCCAAGACCACACCACTGCACTCTAGCCTGGGTGTCAGAGCGAGGAACGGAATTGTACAGTGTGTGGTCTTCTGTAACTGACTATGTTCACACAGCATGTCTTCAAGATTCATCCATGTTGCAGCTTGTATCAGTTCTTTATTTCTTTTTATGGCTTAATAATATTCCATTGTATGGATATACCACATTCGGCTTATGCATTTGGTCACCAAGTTTATTAAACAAACACAAGTCAGATGACCCAAATTTAATTTCGCCTGTGTAGATATGTACCTTTCAATTCAACCAGCAACGGATATAATAAACATTTCCTGGTCTTCACAGTCTCCCATCTAGGCCGATAAGGGGTGGGGTACAGGAGAGGCAGGCACATGGCAGGTTGTGAAAAATGCTATAACACAAACAAAACACCACAGGCTTAGGGGAGAGGGGGAGGAAAGACTGATTCCAACAATGGGACCAGACCAGTAAGGTGCTGGCAGAGAGAATATTTGAGTTGGAGCCAAAAGCAGCAAGCCTTGGAACCAAGGTGTGGAATGCAGGGAAAGGCTTTCTTGAGCACAAAGTAAGAGATAAACAGGAAGGCAGGCCTCTGAATGCCAGGCTAAACGTGTATTTTATTCTAGGTGCACTGTGATGAGACCTTTTGAGCAAAGTCACTGTAATACTTGCGTTTTTAAAAAAGCCAACATCGTGAGCAATGAGTCCCTTAATTAAATAATTCTATTTTCTGTCTCAAGTTTGTTACGCCTGCAAGTCTTTCAACGTCATATCACAAACATTTGCATGGGGACATCAAGATCCATAACCATTGTCAGAGCTTTGGAAGAAGTTACAACATACATCCAATATAGGATGACACTGCTAGTTCCATTCAGCAGAAACAGTTGATTCTTTTTTGAGAGGGAGTCTCACTCTGTCATCCAGGCTGAAGTGCAGTAGCACAATCACAGCTCACCACAGCCTTGACCTCTGAGGCTCAAGCAATCCTCCCACCTCAGCCTCCCAAGTAGCTGCTACCATAGGCACAGGCCACTACATCCAGCTAATTTTTTAATTTTTTTTTTTT